AACAGCGCGAGAGAGTGAATAACGCGAGATTGAATTCTATATATAGGTCTGATCGCAGGATCGAAATACGTTTGTTTCTGATAAGAGAAAAATGATCGTTACTTTGACACCTTGACAGTTATACATGAAAAAGAAGAATTTCTTTTATGAAATAATAAAATTTATGCCTCTTGTATATGTGTGCGTGTGTATAAAGTTACAACGATCATAAAATATGTCCTTCGACTCAAAAGTTTTCTTTTAATATGTAATATTAACAACAAATTGTTAGATAAATTTTTTCTTGATTGTTTTTTTTTTTAAGAACGTGTATACTAAGAAATATTTAAAAATTATATAAGAAAATATATAAGAGAAGAACTTAGTTCTAGTGAATTAAACTTTAAAACCATAAACGTTGAGAAATATAGTGCAACACTTATGTTATAGTTATAGTTATTTATTATACCTTCATACCTCTCGGCTTCGAAGGGGACTTGGTTACATTTCTTACAATTTTCTTGCAATTTTCTTGTTACATACATCTTATCCTATTATATCTCATTTTTGCGAACGCCTGTTATCTTTGTTACCTTCCTGCTCTAACTAGACTACTAGACTCATTACATCACATTACATTACTTTTTACCTTACATTACATTGCATTACATTTCATTTGATTTCATTTACTACATACATTACACATACATCATATATTACGATGTTTAGACTTCCTTCCTCGTCCTCCTTCCTTACATGTAGTGTCTCTTCTTCATAACCTGTTTCTGCTATCTTCCAGCGGCTTTCTTTCCATTCTTTCTTTACTCCTGCCCTTGTACCTTCCTTTGCTCCTCATTTGCTTCTTGCCTTTGTAGCGTGCCTCGATTTTGCTTTCCTCTGTTTTCCTTCCTTCGTTTCCTCTTCTTGGCCTCCTTCTAGTTCTCTTCTCCAGCTTCTTGACTTTTTCCTCTCTCCGTTTTCCTGCCTCCATTTCTCTCTGCATATCTCTTTACTTCTTGCCTTTGCAGCGTACCTCGATTTTGCTTTCCTCTGTTTTCTTTCCTTAGTTTCCTCTTCTTGGCCACCTTCTAGTTCTCCTCCTCTTTAATCTCCTTATCCTCCAGCTCCTTGACTTCTTCCTCTCTCCGTTTTCCTGCCTCCATTTCTCTCTGTATATCTCTCCATTGTCTCCATTTCTTGATTGTCTTTCCTCTTTTTCTTTATCTTTTTCTTTGTCGGAAATAATACTCTTTATTTTGTTTATCTCCCTTACGCTTAACCTGTCCACGCTTCTTTCCGACGTAGAACCTACGAAGCTGTTCGTACTTCTGCCTACTGCACTCTCTGCACTTGCTACGCTTTTCTCGCACATTTCCTCTCTCTCCTATAGCCACCTTTTGCCGCCATAACCTCTTATCTCCCGCCTTCCTTTCCTTCCAGTTTTCTCCTCCCTCTTCTATCCGATCACCTTGCCTTTATTTCTCCTCCTATTTCTTTAACTTCCACATTTATTTCTGCTACTTTCATTAACTTTCCTATTCTCTTTGTCTAGCTAATTCTCTATTATATCGCACGTTCTCACAACCATGTCTGTGCTCACGCACGCCACCTAACCAAGTCCAGTGCAACACTTATGTGTTTAGCAATAAATATGAATTTTTGAAAAGAATGTGATGAATTATGAATGTGAGAATTTATGTAAAGTATCATCGAGAAAATTTTGTTTGCGTCATTTTCCACAAAATGCGAGATGATTGACAACATTGACAAAGTCGAGCAAAAGAATTTCGCGACGACTGTAATAGTCTGGGATGACAAACAAAAACCGAAACGTTATCTCGAATCGGTAATTCGATATCGAGCCGTCGAAATCATGAAACATGGAGCCTCGGCGGATGAGAAAGCTTCATAAACCCAGAATGATCGAAGATTTTTCCGCTGATATCAATTGACCCGAATGAGAAATGTATTCCGCGATGTACGATATACATTTTTGACAAATGTACATCGTTTCTTTATTTCTCAGATATATATTGATTGTAGTAAGATATATATCTATTTTTTCCTAATTAATTCCAGAGATATCTCAAAAAGTGTGTCTATACACAGTAAAAAAAAAAATGTTAATTTTAACATTTTTTGCATGTCCCAGGAGGTCCACTCTAAATTGTAAGTTAAAACAACTTATTCGTTGTGAGTCACTTATTGACAAACTAGTAAAGTCAAATACTTGACACAATACTTTACATTTATATTTGTTATT